TCTCAGGATTTTTAGATCTTGATAAGTAGTAAACAATCGGTACTTTTCCTCTCTCAAATATCAAGCGAAAAGCCCTCTAACAACGTATTTACGTAGAACGCACTTTACAGTTTTCATCAGAGATGAAGATTCATGAAAACAAGTGATGAAGAGGTCTTCATCTTTTGTTTTCATGAATGCAGGAGTTTTCTTAAGGATGTAATAATATTTTTATTATTTCGTTCGACGTTGCAAACGATCAAATTAAATTCATTACTATTTTCAATTCAAATTTTGTCCATAACATAAATACTATTGAAAATCTGAAGTCGTTTTATTATTAATACGCACAAAATAGAACGTATTCAAGTTTATTTACGTCAAACCTGATCGAACTTATTGTTAGCTAGAAATGTCAGGCGTACATTGCGCTCATTTATATACATGTATTTGAATTATGTATTTGAGGGAGAATGCACTTTCGAAATACGTACTACCAGAGATGAAGTTCAGAAGTTGTAATTTTATGAATAAACACCAGTTATTGTTGTTATAAGTATGCAATATCATATATGTACAGCCAGAAAGCTAAGAACCGACCAACCGACCACGACCGTTCGCCGAGTAATTTGTTGCTGGGGGTGAAGAAATCGGTCCACTATTATTATTCATTATTTATAAACAGTCAAAAATTTAACGACATTGTTTACGCTTTACTGAGATGAAAATTGTCAAATAATGGCCGATGCATCATTCACCAAGCCAACAAACGATTCGCAATTCCTTCGAAATGAACCTGCTAATTACACTGCCGGTATTTTAACCTTTTACAATAAACAAATAATTCTGTAATTGTTCATTTTTAAATGCATCTTGAACGAGAGAAAAACATTTTATAGAGATTCGACAAATGATGCATGGATTTGGGGATAGTAGCGAGCCGTTAATTGAGTCTGCGAAGATTATAGAGGAAGTTGTTTTACAACAGATGCGAACGATAATAAAAAAAGCTTGCGAAGTCTCCGAAATGCGAGGGAATTCGAGGAAGAGCATTTGTATCACCTCGGAAGATCTGATTTTTTTGTTACGTAAAGATAAAATCAAGTTACAACGACTTTTAAAATATTTAGGCAAGTAAACTCTGTGGATTAAGAGAGATTATTCTTTAAACTTAGTGTTCTTATCCTAATACATTTTATAGATTTGAAAGAATTCAAGTCTTCTATACACAAAACGATAGATAATGAAATACCAGAAGAAATCGTGCAGAATAAAAATGAGAGATTGAAAATGAAAGGACCGCTTCAAAGTTTTCTTAATCTCATTGACAGTACCGGTGAACTGCTTGAAAATGCTTCTACGATAGACGAAGTCAAGCAACAACGATGTATTCGCGCTGAGATTGTAACAAGATCAATGGACGAAGCTAGATATTTAAAATTTAGCAAAGCACGCAATGCATCGTTTGCAAATAAAAATCGTCACAAGTTCAGTGACTGGATAGCGCCAGAAAGTGAGTTGTATGTACTGAAGTTACGTTGTAAGTAACAACTTCATTTATACATTGTTCTATTATTGTTCAGGTGATATAACAATATCAAAACAAGCTTACACAATTTTGGGATATTTGGCATATGAAGCAGTAGCACAAATTGTAGATTTTGCATTATTAGTGAGACAGGACCAAAATAAGATATACGGTGATGCTATAGATAGACTTAAACTTAGTTATGTTAATCCACATACGTACAAACCGTATTATCATGGCAAGGTTTGTTACACTATTTTCAATATGCTTCTATCAAAGTCTAGAAAAAGAAACCATGAAAAATGATTATCTTATTTTTTAACAATCAAGGTTGCTGTGACAAAGCCAATAACACCTGCTGAAATAATTGAAGCCCTTAGACGATATTGGTCTCCACAGTTAGATATGACAGGTCCGTTTAATCGTGCATCGATAAGAAAACCACATTTAAAACTACTCTTCTGTTAAGATAGATGAATGCGGTAAGAATTAGTTTAATAATATACCAAGAAAAGTACAAAGAAGATATCAGTATTTTACATTAACGTTTAATAGGGTTTCACCTTGATGACTAACATAAAATAATAGAAAGTATTTTAAAATTGACCATTATTTATTGACAAGTTCCTGTACCTCTTACAGACTATCTTATTAGATTTTTATCAGTAGATGTACACGTGATACAAGTTATTACATAAATTAGCGGAATTTTATTTTTATTACAAAGTCTTTCGATCATGCGTCCTATTAATTAACGCGACATTATACACTATTACCTTATCTATATTTTCTTTATAATTACAATACTTTCTGTACATTTACAAGTGATAGTCCCTGATTCCATTTTAAAGATAGAATTATACTACACACGACTTTGCACTAATGTGTGATACGTTCTGATAAAATATGTATTTGGATCTTTTCCTTCGATCATCTCGCAGTACATCGAAAGTCTTTCAAAAGAGATATTCCTGTAAATTCCGTCATTGAACGTGATAACTACGATGTTTCTCTTCTTAACATTCATTGTGCTAAATATATTACTTAGTATCTACAAATTTGAGCTAATCTTACAAATTTCACACGACGTTTCAAGAGTTCACACAAATGCTAATTTTGCTTCGACATCATGGTGAGAGCAATGTCGACACTCGTACTTTTCCTTCCGCGCCACCAGTTATACAAGTTCCAGATTGATTGGCAGTAGACCAGTCGCAACACAGCGTACCTTTGTGTCCGCCTAATTCTAGAACCTTTGCTTGTGCACCTGGTGGCATCTGAAAATTATTTACATTCGAATAAATAATGGATCCATTAGATTACCCGAAAACTATAGTTTAGCAATGAAAAACGCGTACTTTGTAAATATTTCCCCCAGTTTGCGTGCAGAGTAGCATATAATTACCACTTTGGTCGAAAGTAAACAGCTTCCCATGAACCGTATTCTTCTCTACCTTAATTTTAGTTTCCCATAAAATTTTACCGGAATGATTCAAGCTCCTTTGACACAATTTTCCGTCCTCGCTTTGTGTACAGATGTTCGTGTAATCGTTAATTAGTTCTATATCGATGACCGGGCTCGCGTGACAGCTTATATTATCAATAATTTCATTCCGTCTCAGGTCGTGTATTAAAATATTCCCATTGGATAATCCCGTGATGAGCAGTTGCCCGTTATGATTAAATGCAGAACATAGTGCAGTCACGTTTTGTTCCATCGGTAGAGTTCTCTCCAATTTTCTTGTTTTTATATCGTACAATAATAGTTTCCCTTCGTTCGAGTCCGACACGGAACACACAAACGTAGACTCCGTTGGATTGCACAACAGAGTGATGATTCGAGAACTCTCATGGTGAATCTCCCATAAGGTTTTACAATCACGAGTATCGTGCAATTGGATCAAGCCATTGTTATCACCGTGTAAGAAATAACGCTCATTCTTTGATATCCAGTCCAACGCTGTGATAGCTTTATTTGAATTTGCTGGGGCAGAGGTAAACGTAGAAACAGTCCTAGTAGTAAGTGAAAGAAGCAAAGTTAAAGTCTGCGCGAATTTCTGTGGTGTGAAATATGGATTGCGTAAATATCCAAAAATAATTACTTTGGTGACGGTATCGGAGTCCACACTTTGATAATACCATCTGCATCGCCTGTAGCAACATACGAACCGCTTGCATTACTTTTACATTGAATTATCGACGTTTTGTGTTCCGTGTACTCTTCCTGGAAACGATTTTCGTTTGAAACGTTTCTAAAATACTTTCCGTAGACTGAACAAGCTTTTCACCTGGCTAAGGAGTATGTAGGTAGAATCGATTTTATCTTTGGCTTTTCGTTCAGCTACCGCGTCTATGGACGAATCTCTTTTTCTAGTGCTTGTCAATCTCGAATCACAGCTGATGCTTCTTTTGTTAACGGGCTCGGATTTACTGATCGAATTTATTTTGCCTTTCGTGTTCGTTCTTTTCGTCGATGCCATTTCTGGTTCCGCAATTTTCTTCATACTCGTCCCAGGCTTTCTGTTTAGAATCGGACTTGAACCGCCGCCTATATTTCTTATGAGGTTTCTCAACGTTTTAGGATTTTCTAATAAAGGAGATTCTCTATTTAAGTAGTAAGAAAAATGTTAGTTAAACAGTTGGCATAGCGCATCGAATTGTTTCATTAACGCATGAAAATATTTACTGTGCTATAATATAAAAGTCGTCCATGAGCGGCGGATGCTGAGGAGCTGGTCCTGGATTGACATCCATTACATTATCTATTTTAACGGACTCGCTTAAGCGTTGCCTGAGTACTTCGTTCTCTTCTTGAAGTCGTTTCAACTTATTTGTATCCTCATCTATTGTAAGCAACGTTGGTTGAGGCATACACTATAATTAGCAAGCATTACAGCATGAAGGCTTAAGATCAATATTACTAGTTATGGTTAACATTTATTCTATGGTATGAAAAGAAGGGATTTGTAATATGAGGCACGATGCAAAATACCTTTCACCTACTTGAAAAATGGTAGCAAGGAAATTGTGCAAAGACACTAACATAGTGTCCTGCCACTGTCTACTAAAGTGCACGGAGTATGTTGGATTGTCTTCAGGATTCTTAACAAATGGTAATGCTGCGGAAGTGAAAAATAAAGATAAAACATACCAATATTTAAATACAATATAAAGTAAGAGAGTAAGTATAGAGTAAGAAATAAAATAGCTTACCAAACCATTCTTTCCATTCTGAATGGCCTTGTAATTCTGGAGTCATTTTTGTAAAAAATTCTTGAATCCGATCTTGTTTATTATTCACAGCTGCATTAACCAGGTACATCTTTAAAACAGCATTCTCTAGCTTTCTTACAGCTGGTGTAAAATGACTTTCCAAACGAGAAAACATTCGTGTGTCTAAATGCCCCCATAATTCTCTCAAAGATGCTAGATCGTAATTATATATGTATTGCATCAATTGATCCACGATTTTGTCGACCTGACCAAAAACGAGTCGTAAATGACATGAATTAAGTTTATATTTTCTAATCGTAATTTCCTTCAAGCTTACCCTGAACCCTTTCTCCTTCTCCGCTTTCAAATCATTGTCGAAAGCTTTCAAAGTTTGACTGAAACCTCTGAACAGCAGATATTCCTTGACCAATTCGTCTACATACTGAATGTGAGACATTTTCCCTCAATTCTCTTCGAAATATCAATTTTCTCTTTTATCTGACAGACGTATGTTGTCATCCTTTGGCCATTTTGATGTTTGCTGAATATGCAGCGAAATCCAGCTTTCGTTTATCGTCTGACAGTCAATGTTACCAACATTTCGTTATGTGGAGGCAGAGAATCACAAGAGATCAAAATATAAAATTGATCGCTCAGGATCTTGAAGTCGTGATCAGGCTTCTTGCAAAAATACTGTATGAAAATAGCTCGATATATAATGTTAGATGTTAGATAGATGTAATGATATTTCTGTTCTAACTAATTTAACCAAGCATTTATTTCTTATATTTTGTAATTATAATATGAATTGATTCTAGTAGAACAATATTTTTATTAATTATAATCGTACTCCTCATAATTATTCCCACAACATCCAATACAACTCGATGATTATCGCCGATATCTGCGGGTGTAAGTTTTGTAAGGTATTCGTTTTATAATATCACAATAATATCCTCACAATTTAAAATGTAGCAGGAATGAGGAATCATCTTCAAGATAGAAGGAGCCGAGTTTTGGGGGGTATAAAAGGAAGAGCATCGAGCATCGCACAGAACACAGAACGCACCGGCAGTTGGCTGTGTCGTACCACGGTGTATTGTGTGTCTGTCATGTAATTGTAATCTGTCGTGACCGTACCGTAATCGAGTATTTATGGCGTACAGCAGCCAGTCTTCAATTTTCCCTTGAACCTCGATCGTTTATTACTTTATTTTCCGTACTTATCTAAAATCGTGATGTACCTTCCGCGCGATTGTTTCAGTGCATTGTATAATTTAATGATTCAAACGTATACTTCGTGGAACGTTTTACCTTTATTGCTTATCAAGCACCGGCTTATTTATCAACACCAATTATCGTTTAGTAATTATTTTGTAGCGAAAAGTCGTATTTAATTTATTTATTTAATTAACATATCCATTTGTGATCGTAATTGTATTTATATCTTAAATTAAGGAATATACGTGCGCGAAAATATAATATTTAAGAAAGTGGATAAACGAATAGCGTATTAGGAATTTTAATTGAGAATAAAAATTTGTCTCTGCAATTAATGCATCCTGCAAGAAGCAACATGTTCTTCGTTTGTGTTACCGTCGGCCTTGTGTTACTGGCCTCCAAGTACCGCAAAAATGTCTTTCAAAGCGTCAAACAGCTTTGTCAAAGTATAAAGACTAAGAGCAGTTCTAAGCAGAACGATAATAGAAAGAAGGATTTTAAAATTACATTGGATAAAATTATTTTGGCTGATACACCAGAGAAATGTGATTACGCCATTCAACGTATTCGCTGGTAAGTATAATTATCTCTATCAATACTAGACCTATAATATTCTGTGTATTAGAAGTAGTAGATATACTGAACGGTATGCTTACATTTTTTTCTCAAGTTGTATCTGACTATGAATTCTCCAGCGTACGGCAATGTTGACACATATATATTTTTTTTTGTTTAAGTTACAATTCCACTTACACAAACTCTTTTTCTACTTATGAAATTTATTTATATGCTTATTAATCATGACAAATTAATCTTTCATTGAAGCAATTTATCGGATAATGTACTGGGATTTGATTGCGAGTGGGCTAACGAAGGACCCGTATCCTTGCTTCAACTTGCTACGTTCAATGGAGTGTGTGGTCTCTTTCGCATTAATAAAATCGGATACATCCCACAAAATCTAAAGGTATGAAACATCTAACTAAACAATGTATCAAATATTTATGTAAGCAATTATTTCAGGAACTGTTGGCCAGTAAACAAATTCTTAAAGTTGGAGTTGCTTCGTACGAAGATGGACAGAAAATAATAGCGGATCATGGATGCAATGTTTGCAGCACGCTCGATCTGAGAACTTTGGCACAACGTGCAAATTTGCCTTGTCCAAAAAGCTTAGCTGCAATGAGCTTACAATATTTAAGTTTGGAAATGGATAAATTAATTGAAGTGAGATGTAGCGACTGGGACGCTGGCACTCTTGCTGACGAACAAGTAGCGTACGCTGCTTGCGATGCGATTGCGTCTGTTCTTATTTATGACCAGGTTGGTGAGAGCATACAGCTTTTAGTAATTTATAATGGATCAGATATACAAACATTCGTTTTTCTTTCGCAGATCGTGCAAAGGATGAAAGAAAAATATTCTCTATGGCAAAACTTGATAGATTATATAAAAAGTCTATGTAATAGAAAGTTAAATACGCAGTTCCACAACTTGCCTAATGGTATAATCGATACAAGGTAGAGAGATATTCTAAATGTTGAAATGTTTACATTTATTTGTACGTATTCGTATATATTATACCTTCACCTTGAACTTCAGGTTCAGGGCTCAGCCAACAAACACAATTGTTAATCAGAAGAATATGAAGAATAGTAACATCGACAAGATTAGAAATATGAAAGATTTGAATATGAATAATACCGTCGGACACAAAAGTAACATACCTACGAGAAATAAACCGTTGTACCATAATTGTTATTTGCAAGCCCCGGACGGGGAGATATTGTGTACATGCGATCGGAAGAAAGCTGAATGGTATATAAGCAAACAATTGGGAGAAGTGATTGAAAAGGAACCATTTACCGTGAGATTGAAGTTCGAGCCATCAGGACGTGCCTTGGGTGAAGTTGGACAATACTATACCCAAGTAAAAGTCAATCAGTGTGTAGTTTGTGGAACATCGGACAACTTTATTAGAAAGAACGTTGTGCCTCGAGAGTACCGGAAATATTTCCCCCGTAAGTCGCGCCGTAATCGATTTGATACGCGTATGACAGAATAAGGTTCATAAGATTAAAAATATTTTTTAGTGGTGATGAAAGCTCATCAGTCGCACGACATACTATTGTTGTGCCCAACTTGCCATGAAATCAGCAATTGCCATGATCTGCAGCTCAGAAGAAAGTTGGCAGACATGTGCGATGCACCGCTGGCTGGCCCATTGACTCACGTACGTAACAAATATGTACACAACTGGAGGAAACTACACTCGGCAGTCAAAGCTCTAAGAGAGAGTTCAACTTTGCCCGACGCACGACGTAAGGAATTAGAAGAGTACATCTTAGAATGTACGAACAAGCAACAAGTTACACCGGTTTTACTAGATTTATTGAATAACGAATTAAAAAATGCTATGGCTTCGGGACCAAACTGTGATCAATCCAAGTGTCAGTCTCACGGTTTAAAGGTATTGTAATTAACACTTGATTAATAATAGACAATGCATACTTCCATGTGTACATTCATGTACTGCACATGATTGTTTTTTCACAGGTGGTCCAATACTTTCAAAGAAAAGAAGCAGGATTAGTTGAATTGGAGCGTATGTGGAGGGAACATTTTCTTTTGACTATGAAGCCAAAGTATCTACCGAACTTATGGTCTGTTCGTCATAATCAAGAAAGGCTAAGTATTCGACAGTCTCAAAACAGAATTGAACCACAAGATGCAAAGGTAGCTGGTTTGGCATATTGAATTTTAAACATTATGTACATAAAGGACTCGTAAAAGAGCGAGTACTTGGATTAAAAGACTGTCTTATAAATTTGTATCACACCTCATGTGCATATATTTAAATGTATATACATATATTATTTATATATGTACATATACACAGACATACACGAGATTCGACAGTGGTTTTATTTCCTCCTCCTTCGTTGTATATCAAAATGTATCGCGAGTTATTTACAAGAAATATAGACTGAAATGAGTATGATTTAAATAATATCTCCTTTTATTTTGATACTATATAAGCTTTAAATAGTAATAAAATATAGCTATGCTAAATTTTGTCCATTCAATGCTTTATACTATTTATTTATGATTAAAATGTTGTTAGATTTATATACAGAGGGAGATCTGAGAATTAAATTTAGACTAATACAAGAATGTATTAAGGCTGTTTCGACGTTTCTTGTCGAACGGAATCATCCGTCTTTGGTGGGACCTTCACATTCTTCAGTTCCTCATCGATACGTTCTTTGGCGCGTACAACTTTCGACTGAATATAAAAAGAACCACCTTTCGATCTATCATTAACTTCCATGAGATACTTATAATTACGTTCGATAGTGTCTATTTGATCCACGCGATCAACGTTTAAAATTTGTAGCGCTTCCTCTAAGGAAATACCGGTTTTGTAATTGGTCGCAACATGTTGCGTACCTCGTACACCGCCGCCCGTTTTACGTGCAGCCGCTTGACTCGCTGCGATTTCTTGTCGTAATGCACGTGCAAACGCTTTGACAACGACTTGCGTGCCCATTACAATTATTTGCACCAAGTGTTTCGCCATAACCTCTTCCTTCCGATCGTTCAGCCGCTTACTGTTGAATTGATTCTCGATGCACTCTCTCCTTATATCTTGGCTTTTAAACGATGTTTGCTCCAAGGAAGATTCGTTTTTTAAGGCATTTGGATAATGACACTGCTTTTTTTCAAATTTTATCCTCGTTTCTTTATATAATGTATCTCTTGCACGTTTCACGCTGGTGTTGCACCATTTCTGAAGTAAGTACGCGCCATTCGCGTATTTTCTTGCACAGACGCACTTTAATAATCATTTGTATAATTATATATTAACCTTTCGATATCGAATACAACCGATATAATAATATTTCTAATGTAAAATGTTACACGAATTTATACGTATATATATATATAGGAAATTACTCACCAACAATTTACTCTATTACGCCTTTTACATAATATGTATGCGTTTACAACCTAATAGAAATACTTTGCTAGTAAGTAAAAACCGTTTGTTTGCTGTAT